TGTGATACAATAGTGAATAATTGTTATCAGGACTGCTTGTGAGGGTTGGAAATGTAAAGGTAGACGTTTTGTAGCAAGGAGGGGAGTGATTAACTCTTCAGCCTAGGAGCAGAGGTCCCTAGGACCACCAAGGGAGAAGAGTGGAGAGCGGGACCCTACCCAGAGAAGCAGTGCTGCCTGAGGTGGAGGCAGAGACGATGACGTGGAAAGATGGAGCAGTTGGGGACTTTAGACACAGAGAAGGAGAGGGACTGTGCTGACGTCTGGGGGACAGGCTTGTAGTGTATACCCTTTGGTTGGTTGATGATGCATGGAGGAGATTGTAATCATAGCAATGAAACAATATACAATTGGATGAATGTAAAACTAATGTTCTCCCGTGTAAACTATCACATAATTCACAATAAAATGTTAAAGAAAAAAAAATACAGGCAAGAAAAAAAGACAAAAATAGATGTCATTAGGGGAGGGAGGGGAAGGTGGAACACAGGGTAGGGAATAATAGACACAGGATAGTTTGGGTACTAGGGAGGGGGGCAATACACAAGAAGCTGGAGGGGAATGGAAGAACAAGGTGGATGGGAAAACAGTAAGGCAGGTTTGCATGGGCTAAGTGGGACAGAGGTAAATAATGATGTATGAGCAACCGTGGAACGAACAACAGGGCTCTGGGATACAGGGATTGAGATATGGTTGGAATGGGGAAATGGAGTGAAATAATGTTAAGATGCTTGGCTGTCTTATGAATCTTGGTTTCTCTGGCATCCCATTATAAAATAGACACTTGAGGGGGAGAGAAAGGAATAGCCAGAAATATCACCATAGAAAGCTTGTAAATCCGTCTTCTACCTGTAATTGATTGGAATACCTAAAATGGGGCTACAACGTGCCCAGTGAAGGAGGCTTTCTATGGAGCCTCTGCATTACATAAGACCACAGGGGGAATCCTGAACCCCATCCAGAATCTTCTGAGGTGGGAAATTTCCACTTGAAAGGACAAGCCGACCAGCCTAGAGTGGCTAGAAGAACATAAGATACTTCTTGAAAGAAAGACCAACAGGAAAAATACAAAACAGTAACGGCAGTCTGATTCGACTGATTACTACAAGAACAAGCAAGGTGCTTGTCCAGGAGACAGCAAGGCTAGTGATCAGTCCCCTCAAGGTAAATCCCCTTCCAAGACTAAGACTTAATGGGAATACATGAGCAGACATGAGCTCTGATTGGTGACCACGTTTGTCACCGATAAGGGGAAGTGAGGGAAAACAGCAATGAAGCTGTGAGCTAAGCCCTAAAATGTTCAATAGCCTCCTGTGAACCCGGATGGAGACCTGGTTGGCCAGCAGTGTGGCAAGACCTGGGGACTCTTGGGCCCAGAGTCAGTGACACAGCCAC